ACATTCAAGTTATAATTACAACTTGTGTTATTGAAAACTCAACATTGTCATGACTCTCTGGATATCAAGTACACTATTCCAGGAGTTGTCCCAATAAGGAAAGATTTAGTCAAACATTCCAAAGGCCCAGTTTACCCGACCAAGGGATTCAGGGCAAATGCAAACACACGTCAGGTTACTGAACTGAACAAGATAAACTTGAACTTATTGCAGGCAGAATGGAAACACAATTTCTAACTGATACTGCCCTGTCTGAATTTCTCCTCTTCCATATGAAGCCAGTCGCTCAAGACAGACTAGACATGGCTGTTAAGGGCAGAAAAGGAACGAAAAAATCTGGGAAACACAGTTCAGTTGAAAAAATGCAGACCTAGAATTCGATGAGTTGCTTTTTCTTCATTTTAATTCAGATTAGTTTTTTATGTGTTAACACAAGGTTACACTGAGAAGGCTTTCGATAAGGAACCACAGAAGAGATTAACGTGTAAAATTAAAGAACATGAACTTGGGATAGTGCACTGAAGTAGTTTGAGAATGCATTGGCAAACAGATAACAAAGAGTCAGAATAAATGGGGCCTTTTTCTGAATGACAGGCCATGACTAGTGGGATACTGCGGGTATCTGTGGTTGGATCCCACCTATTCACAATATCTATTAATGATTTGGAAAATGGAACTGAATGTAATACCTCCAAGTTTGCAGAGGACATAAAGCTGAGTGGGAAGGAGAGCTGTGAGGAAGATGTAGAGATGCTGCAATAATATATGGACAGGCCGAGTGAGTAGAGAAATGCATAACAGATAAAGTATAATGTGGATAAATGTGGCCGAAAGCAAGGAGTTGAAATAAAAGGGTCACTCAAAGGAAGACAGACAGTTTCTGGTGGTGTACTGCATGGATCGGTGTGAGGTCCACAGTATTCATCAGCAAGACTGGTTAGTAAGGTTAGATCACATGGAGTACAGGGAGAACTAGCCATTTGGATACAGAACTGGCTCGAAGGTAGAAGACAGGGTGGTGGTGGAGGGTTGCTTTTCAGATTGGAGGCCTGTGACCAGCGGTGTGCCACAAGGATCAGCGCTGGGCCCACTACTTTTTATCAATTATATAAATGATTTGAACATGAACATAGGAGGAATGGTTAGTAAGTTTGCAGGTGACACCAAAATTGGAGGCATAGTGGGCAGTGAAGAAGGTTACCTCAGAGTGCAAACAGATCTTGATCAGATGGGCCAATGGGCTGAGGAGTGGCAGATGAAGTTTAATTTAGATAAATGTGAGGTGCTGCATTTTGGAAAGGCAAATCAGGGCAGAACTTATAAACTTGATGGTAAGGTTGTGGGGAGTGTTTCTGAACAAAGAGACCCTGGAATGCATATTCATAGTTCCTCGAAAGTGGAGTTGCAGGTAAATCAGACAGTTTGGCATGCTTGCCCTTATTGGTCACTGCATTGAGTATAAGAATTGGGAGGTCATATTGCAGCTTTACAGGACATTGGTTAGGCCACTTTTGGAGTATTGCGTGCAATTCTGCCCTCCCTCCTATAGGAAAGATGTTGTGAAACTTGAAAGGGTTCAGAAAAGATTTACAAGGATGTTGCCAGGGTTGGAGGATTTGAGCCATCGGGAGAGGTTGAATAGACTGGGGTTATTTTCCCTGAAGCATCGGAGGCTGAGGGGTGCGTTTTACAGGTTTACAAAATCATGAGGAACATGGAAATCCTCAGGCCACTTCTCCATCTGATCAAGATCCCTCTGTAATTTTTGATAATTTTCTCTGTTGACGATTCCTCCTAATTTTGTATCATCTGCAAACTTACTAACCATGCCTTGTACATTCACATCCAGATCATTTATGTAAATGACAAATAACAAAGGTTCCAGCAATGAACCCTGTAGCACATCACTAGTCACAGGCCTCCAGTCCTAGAAACAACCTTCAACCATCACCCTCTGCTTCCTACCATCGAGTCAATTTTGAATCCAGTTAGCTAGCTCTCCCTGGATCCCATGTGACCTAACCTTCATGACTAGCCTGCCATGGAGGACCTTGTCAAAGGCCTTACTAAAGTCCATATTGACAACATCCACTGCCCCACCCTTGTCTATCCTCTTGGTTACGTCTTTAAAAAACTCTCAAAGATTTGTCAGACATGACTTCCTGCGCATAAATCCATGCTGACTAACCTCAATCAGACCTTAACTATCTAAATGTTGGTTGATCCTGTCCTTCTGTATCCTCAGCCCACATAGGATGTGTTCGGAGGGATATGAGCCAAGTGTTTGCAAATGTGACTACATTCATTTAGGATATCTGGTCAGCGTGAATAAGTTGGACCGAAGGGTCTGTTTATGTGCTGTATATGTCTATGACTCTATGAGTGTTGATTAGACTCTTTGGAAACTTGGCTGCCTGAGTATGTGCATTTTACACCACTAGGCACGACAGCAGTGACAGCTATTGATGCAATCCCACTGGATGACTTAAACCCAGCTCATGACGCTAAGGGCCAAAGGCCACAACAAAATTTGAAGATTAGGGGCAAGGAGGGATAAAAAGACACGCACCCAAACACCACCACCTTAGTGACAATGCAGAGAAAACTCAGTGAGGGTGCAAAGAAGCCTCAGTGAGGACTCGGTGAAGATTCTGTGCAGATTCAGTGAAGAATCAGTGAGGACTTGCAAGGAAGACTTGCAGCAAGACTCGTGGCAGATGACAGGGAAGCAATCCAAGAAGACCCAGGAGAATCTGCTTTGATCTGTTAGACCCAGCTTTGTGGAAGACAGCCAGCCCTACTTTGGAGAGAAAGGAGATTCCAATAGCCCTGCGCAAACATGTGGATCATTGTGGATAAGATCCTTTCCAAGATATATAGAGGTAAATAAAATGCAAATGTTGTGAGAATTTGGGGAATAGTCACATGGTGTTTTTAATAAGGAACATTCTGTGGATGAAATTAAGTTGAATCACAAACTGATTTCTGTCTCCCCTTGTCCACCTCACCAACAAGAGCACTTAGGTAAAGTATATTTAATACATAAACTAGTCAAACCATGGACAACACCTCAACCTACCTACCTACCTACTCCCTACCTATGTCCGTGACACCACCCACGCCCTCCACCTCCTTCAGAACTTCCAAATCCCCGGTCCCCAACACCTCATCTTTACCATGGACGTCCAGTCCCTATACACCTGCATTCCCCATACAGATGGCCTAAAGGCCTTCTGCTTCTTCCTGTCCCACAGGCCCGACCAGTCCCCCTCCACTGACACCCTCATCCGCTTAGCCGAACTCGTCCTCACCCTCAACAACTTCTCTTTCAATTCCTCCCACTTCCTACAGACAAAGGGGGTGGCCATGGTTACCCACATGGGCCCAAGCTACGCCTGCCTCTTTGTAGGTTATGTGGAACAATCCCTCTTCCAAAGCTACACTGGCCCTAAACCCCACCTCTTCCTCCGTTACATTGATGACTGTATCGGCACCGCCTCGTGCTCCCACGAGGAGCTTGAACAGTTCATCCACTTCACCAACACCTTCCACCCCAACCTTAAGTTCACCTGGACCATCTCTAATACCTCTCTCTCCTTCCTGGACCTCTCTGTCTCCATCTCCGGCAACCACCTAGAAAACGATATCCATTTCAAGCCCACCGACTCCCACAGCTACCTAGAATTCACCTCCTCCCACCCACCTTTCTGCAAAAATGCCATCCCCTATTCCCAATTCCTTCGCCTCCACCGCATCTGCTCCCAGGATGAGGCATTCCACTCCCGTACATCTCAGATGTCCTCGTTTTTCAAGGACCTCAACTTCCCCCCCTCAGTGGTTGAAAACGCCCTCGACCGTGTCTCCTGCATTTCCCGCAACTCATCCCTCACACCCTCTCCCCGCAACAACAACCAAAACAGAATCCCCCTCGTCCTCACATACCACTCCACCAACCTCTGGATCCAACGCATCATCCTCTGACACTTCCGCCATCTGTAATCCGACTCCACCACATTTTTCCCTCCCCAACCTTATCTGCTTTCCGGAGGGACCACTCTCTCCGTGACTCCCTTGTCCGCTCCACACTCCCCTCCAGCCCCACCACACCCGGCACTTTTCCCTGCAACCGCAGGAAGTGCTACACCTGCCCCTACACCTCCCCCCTCACCCCCATCCCAGGCCCCAAGATGATTTTCCACATCAAACAGATGTTCACCTGCACATCTGCTAATGTGGTATACTGCATCCGCTCTTCCCGTTGTGGCCTCCTCTACATCGGGGAAACCAAGTGGAGGCTTGGGGACCACTTTGCAGAACACCTACGCTCGGTTCGCACTAAACAACTGCACCTCCCAGTCGCGAACCATTTCAACTCCCCATCCCATTCCTCAGAAGACATGTCCATCCAGGGCCTCCTGCAGTGCCACAACGATGCTACCCGAAAATTACAACCAATGCATCTAATATTGCTGTAGCTCCTTCTTTCAGGATCCTAGGATGCAAGCCATCAAGGCCAGGGGACTGATCTGCCCTTAGCCCCATGAGTTCGTCTAACATGACCGTTTCAGTGACAGAGATAGGACTTACTCTCTCCCTAATATTCTTTAGTTTTATCGGAAGGTTCAAAGTATCTTCTACCATAAAGACCAACCCAATGATTTTCCATGGAGGTTTGGACCATTTATGGGGTTGCATCAAATGTGTGAATTCTCCATGTTTAAGTGAGTGATTATGAGGAACTTGCACTGAATAAATAATTAACACCTGAAATGAACCTCAATTTGCCACATTCAGAATATCCAGCCAGTAATATCCTTCCTCAGAAAAGAGCAGCCATTGGTTTATTATCACTGCTTCCCCTTTACGAACACTTTAACTTCTTTAACTCCTGAGGAATGAGACATTAAAGAAGCTGCAGATGGCTTGGACACTTTGAGCTTTGTGTATTAACTGGACGTACAATAAACTGAGTGAATAAACAGTGTTGTCGCTCTGTCGAGATGATCCGTGGAACTTTATTTGCCGTGACCCTGTGCCTCTGTGGTGCTTTGGGTAAGTGTTTGCTTTGGAGGAGTTTACCTTGTTATAAAAGACCTTTCCATGGTTTGTGCCGTTGAGGAGTTTGTGCGAATTCTATAAGTTTGAACATTCAGAACTGGAGGGGAGTGTCCAAGTGTCACAGGGATCTGGGTGTACAGGTACACAGGTTACAGAAAGTGGCAACACAGATGGAGAAGGCAGTCAACAAGGCATACATCATGCTTGCCTTCATCGGCCAGGGCATTGAGTTTATAAATTGGCAGGTAATGTTGCAGCTTTATAGAACTTTAGTTAGGCCACACTTGGAATATTGTGTTCAATTCTGGTCACCACGCTACCAGAAGGATGTGGTGGCTTTGGAGAGGGTACAGAAAAGATTTACCAGGATGTTGCCTGGTATGGAGGGTATTAGCTATGAAGAGAGGTTGGAGACATTTGGGTTGTTCTCATTGGAATGACAGGGGTTGAGGGGTGACCTGATAGAGGTGTGCAAGATTATGAAGGGCATGGACAGAGTGGATAGTCAGAAGCTTTTTCCCAGGGTGGAAGAGTCAGTTACTAGGGGGCATAAGTTTAAGTTGTGAGGGGCAAGATTTAAAGATGATGTACAAGGCAAGTTTTTTACACAGAGGGTGCTGGGTTCCTGAAACTCGCTGCTGGGGGAGGTAGTGGCAACAGATACGATAGTATCATTTAAAGGGCGTCTTGACAAATACATGAATAGGATGGGAATAGAGGGATACGGTCCCTGGAAGGGTAGGGGGTTTTAGTTGTGACGGGCAGCATGTCGATGCAGGCTTGGAGGGCCGAAGGGCCTGTTCCTGAGCTGCAATTTTCTTTGCTCTTTGCAATGATTTATCACTGTCTGGAGATTGTTTCGTGAAGCTGACATCGAGCTCTACAGGCTGGGAACACAGACCAGAAAACAAAGTGTTTTCTGGGTGTATCGTAAATAATTATGTCCCCAGCACCGATTCGTGTGACACTCCAATAGCTGCAGGTTGTCATTCTTAAAAGGACACTTTTCTCCAACTCTCTGTCTTCTCTTCAATACCTATTCCTTTATCCATGCTATTATCTGATCTTCTTATGTAGCCTATTGTGTGGGATCTTATCAAGAATGTTATTTAAGAGCTCTTTTGTGAATACAGAACCAAGGTTTGTATTTAGTGGGTGAGCCAGTTCTTTGTTCCCCATTATAAGTTCCTCTTTTCTGATTGTAAGGGAATGATATTTATCTTCATCATCAACCTACAGGAACAGTTCGTATCAGTACTTATGTTCCCCACAAAATTACTTCCTTAGTCAAACATTAATCAATTACTCCTTGGCTCTGTTGTTTTTCAGGCCAAAGACTGCTGGGAGGGTGCTTTTATTTCCTAGTGGGAGTTTAGAACAAACAGACTGCTGTTCATTTATTGATTTTTTTTTTATTTTTAAGATGCAAATTTCCCAGTCCTTCTCCAGTCTCCGATCATGGAACGAATCACCGAGGGTCACACTGCTCGGTTACAGTGCACTGTGAGGAACGTCGCAGTGACACACATCGATGTTCACTGGTACCGGGAGCAACCAGGAAGGAGGAGGGAGTGGATTTTGGTCCATTACTCATCGAATAATGTACAATGGTACTTAAGTTATTACACATGGAATCACAAGCAATGGTACTCAGGTTTCAAAAAACGTTTCCAGTCTTCTAGAAACTCCTCCAGTAACAACTTCATTCTGACCATCACAAACGTGCAGCCCAATGACACTGGGGTCTATTACTGCTCACTCTGGGGAAGTATCAGTGTTGGAGGAAGCCGGCTCATTGTAAACAGTAAGTAGAGTTTACACGACAAACTTCTCCAGCAATAACCTCTTGCCCAAAGAAAGAATTGGGGATCAGTTCGTGATTAATAAGACTGAGGAGGTCTTGGAGATCAGGGATGGATTCACTGTGAGGAGGAAGCTGAGCTCAGGTTCAATGTTGGTAGGTTTGTGGGAGAAAGGGTGTATTTTTGTGATAATGGGAGGAGGACTTTGTGGGAAATGTGAAGCTTCATCTTGCAGAATGACTGATATAAATTCCATTTGATTCACAAGAGTGTCAGTACCATTGGGCCGGATGAGCAGAGTCAGGGAGATTGCCCTGTGAGGTGCCACATCTGCAGGGAATCTCCCAGGGATTGGAAATGAACCATAGAGCACAAAGGGGCACACACATCTCTCTCCATTCAAGAGACAATTTTTTTGATCCAGATTAAAGGGAACCACTCCACATCGAGCACAGAGCAAGAGGAGGGGCTCACTCTGTTAGAATTATACAGCACGCAAACAGACCTTTCGTCCCAACCAGTCCCTGCTGACCATAATCCCAAACTAAATGAGTCATATCATCAGAGGCTGCACTGATGATGTTACCCAGGAGGGTAATGAAACGTCTGCGAACTAGCGAACCGGCTCGGCGAGCAAACCAACCACAGCATCCACAACCCGAGCTACAAATCTACTCAAGAACCTTAGTCCCATCTGCCTGCACTTAGCCCCTATCTCTCCAAACATTTCTTATTCATGTACTTATCCAAATGTCTTTTAAATGTCATAACTGTACCTGCATCCACCACTTCCTCTAGAAGTTCATTCCACACATGAGCCACTCTGTGTGTACAAAGATTGCCCTGCATGTCTTTTTTAAATCTTTCTTCTCTCACTTTAAACAGATGCCTACAATCTTGAAATCTCCACCCTAAGGAAATGACCTGCCTTTCACATTATCTACACCTCTCATGATTTTATAAATCTCTGTAAGGTCACCCCTCAATCTCCTATGCTCCAGTGAAACATGTCCCAGCATCTGACATCTCCCCATAATTCAAACCTTCCATTCCCAGCAACGGCCTGGTAAATCTCTTCTGAACCCTTCCAAACTTAATTATATTCTTCATATAAAGATCAACCAGAACTGGACACAATGCTCCAGAAAAGGACACAGTAACATCCAGTACAACCTCAACATGATGTCCCAGCTTCCATATTCAAAGGTCTGAGCAATGAGGCCAGCATGCTAAGTGCTTTCTTAAAGATCCTATCCATACGTGATGCAAAATTCAAAGAATTATGTACCTGAATTCCTTTGTCTTTCTGTTCTAGAGCATTACCCAAGGCCCTGCTTTTAATTGTATAAGTCTTACCCTTGTTTGTTTTACCAAAATTCAATACCTTGCATTTATCGAAATTAAACTCCACCTGCCACTCCTCAATGCATTGACCTAATTGATCAAGATCTCTTCGTATTCTTAGATGACCTTTTTCACTCTCTACTATACCACAATCTTGGTGTAATCCACAAATGTACCAACCATACCTTCTGTATTCTCATCTAAATCATTTCTATAAATGGCAGACAAAAGTGGACCCAGTACTGATCCCTGTGGAACACCACTGGTAACAGGCTTCCAGCCTGAGAAACAACTCTCTAACATCACTCTCTGTCTCCTGCCATTAGGCCAATTTTGTATCCAATTGGCAAGTCCACCCTGAATCCCAGGTGATCTAACTTTATTAATTAGTCTAGCATGCGGAACATTGTCAAAGACTTTATTAAAATCCAAATAAACAATGCCTACTGTGCTGCCCTTATCAATCTTCTTAGTTACTTCCTCAAAAGCTCACTCAAGATTGTGAGACAAATTTCCCTCACACAAAACCATGCTGATCATCCCTAATCATTCTTTGCCTCTCCAAATACATATAAATCCTATCTTTCAGAACCACTTCCAACTTACCCACCACCGAAGTCAGACTCACAGGTCTATAGTTCCCCCAGATTCTCCTTACGTCCTTTCTTAAACAAAGGCACAACATTGACTACTCTCCAGTCATTCAGTACATCACCTAGTTATAAATGACACAAATATTTTTGCAAGGGGCCCCGAAATTTCTTTCCTAACTTCCCAAAAAGTCCTGCGATACATTAGATCATGTCGTGAAGATCTATCTATCTTGATATTTTCCAAGGCCTCCAGCACTTCCTCTTTTGTCATGTGAACTGTTTTAAAAACATCAATATTTATTTCCCTGAGTTCTCCAGCTTCTATTGCTTTCTCCACAGTAAAAACTGACACAAAGTTGTCATTTAATCTCATCTCCTGAGGCTCAACACAAAGATGAACTCTTTGATCTTGAAGGGGCCCTGGTCTCCTGCTCTCAATGTACTTGCAGAATCTCTTTGGATTATCCCTGACCTTACTTGCCAAGTCTATCTCATATCTTCTGTTTGCTTTCCTGATTTCCCTCTTAACAAAGCCCCGACACTCGTTATACTGTTCAAGAGATTCATTTGAACCCAGTTGCTTACATCTAACGTATTTTTTTAAAAAATCTTGACCATAACCTCAATATCTTTATTTATCCATTGTTCTCTAATCCTATCAGCCTTACCATTCATTCTAATAGGAACATAATGACTCTGAACTCTTGTCACCACACTACTTATCAGACATTCCTTTACTTGTGAACAGTCTATTTCAATCAAATTTTGACATTTCTTGTCTCATACCACTAAAATTTACCTTAGTCCGGTTAAAAAAATCTTTAATTTTTATGGAAGTCTTATTTTTTTTCCATAACAATTTTAAAATAAATAGAATTATGACCACGAGACCCAAGGTGTTACCCAACTATCACTTCAGTCATTTTCCCTGTCTTATTACCTAAGAGAAGGTTATGGTTTGCTCCTTCTCTAGTAGGAACATTTAAAGATTGATAAATAAAATTTTCTTGAACACATTTGACAAATTCTTCACAATCCAAACCTTTAACGCTATGGCAGTCCCATATATATCCGAGATCTCTTTACATATTTGGTCCTCAATTTCCCTCTGAACATTGGGGATCTAAAGTACAATCTCATCAAGGTAATCATTCCCTTTTTATTTCTAATTTCAACCCATATGTTTTCACAGGATGATTTTTCAGAAACATATTCTCTAGTTACAGTAGGAACATTTTCTTTAATCAAAAACTCCACTCCCACTTCTCTTTTGCCTCTGTTTCGATCCTTCCTGCAACATCCAAGCTCCCACAGTTGAGACTGGGATTAAAGCTGGGGTATTGTCATTATTCGACATTATACTCCAGCCATCTAAGCTACGTGACTAGGGAAGAGTGATCATAGTAATCTGGGAGTTTCCAACATAATTAGCTGGAGATTCGTGTTGAATATTGCTGAGAGTCTGGTTTCATCCCCCCCATTCTGGTTCAGGTAGTTCCTGGGGCTTTCTCTTCTACTTGCCCCATTGTGGGTGAGTGGACAGCTAATATCAGATCAGAGTTAATGCAGAGAGATGTGAGGACACTCAGATTAAATGGAGAAATAAGAGCAGTAGAGACAATTTTATTTAAAAGTGCAATTCTAATGGATATGTAGGAGCAGACAGACCAAGGCGTATACTCTTCAGTTAAAAAAAAATCATTAAATTCATACGGTAACATAAGAACAACGCTTTAAAGTTCTGTAGCAAAAAGAAAACACTGAAGAGAAACCCATTTTAGGACAACATAAAAATATATGGCCTGTGAGAAACTGGAATATGGAACTGTTTGGCTATTTCTTGATTGAAGAGGTTTTGCCACATGATCAAAAATCTGTTACAGTTTACAAAATTCAAATTAACTTCTAATCAATCAATGATGCCATGAAAATATAAGAAATGGGTTTTATTGCTAAGTTGCTGGGCTGATTGATTTTGATTGCAGCCTAGCGACAGTTTCTGGGCTTGAGTTGCTGTGTGCTTTCACAGACCAAAAGGAAAGCAGCTGAATTAAAGTGTCAAGCTGACCAAAACCAGTGAGGAAAGAGCCCTCTCTTTTGGTAAAAAAGAGAAGGAAACTTCAAGCAGGACCCTCTCAGTAAGTAAAAGACAAGGAAAAAGCAGATAAGATCTCTTTATGAAGGATTTGTAAAGATAACATTTCCAATATCAGAGTTTCAAGTTATTTCCCATCAGAATCTGAAATATGGTCAGGAGATCTCCCATCATTGTATAACTTTCAGGAATCAGCCTCATTAACAAGAAATTGAAGGAACTCTGAGAAGTCAACCCATTCTACCTTTTGATGTGAGTTGCTTGCAGCATTGGGAAAGCCTTTCATTAAGGCCTTTTTTTAAAGAAGCAACCTGAACTATTTCTACAGAGCAGTGTTTCCTTGTCTGTGAATGAAGATATGTTTGAGATTAATGGGATATATTTTAATCGTAAATAGAAATGCACTTGCTAATCGCATTGTCTGCTTGTTTCAAGAATTTGTCTTGTTGATAATAAATAAGTTGGTTTTGAGGTCATTTACCAACGTGCTAGATTTTTTTAAAACTTTGGACTGGCGGACAGAAGAGAGACAAATTGGCTGTATTGTTGACTCAGTGACACATTTAGTGTGGCTTGTGGTTAATTGGGGCTTGATTACTCATTCACTCCCGCATAGAATTTAAACTCTGTGATGTGAGTGTGTGGTTTCCATATAATTTTAATATTATTTAGTTTGGAATTTGGATTTTGAACTCGTGGCATTTGGTTTTGGTCTCTGTGTGTTTTGGTCTCTGTGAGTTTGAGGGGATTTAAAATTTAAGGTGAGCTTTTCGATTATAAAAGTCTTAACCTCGCGTGACTGCAGTCTTTCAGTTGTTTCAGCGGCGGGAGTCCGGGAGGAAGCGCGAGGGCAGCCTGGGAAGGTGAGCTTTTCGATTATAAAAGTCTTAACCTCGCGTGACTGCGGCCTTTCAGTTGTTTCAGCGGCGGGAGTCCGGGAGGAAGCGCGAGGGCAGCCTGGGAAGGTGAG